TTACGGGGAACGAGGGAATTTTTTTTAATTTTTGAGGGTAATGTCTTCGACTAGATACGATTTGTGATCTTTTGACATATTTTTCATCAAAATCGGTTCTGTGAGAGCTAAGATTGAGCGTATACAGACACAAAAAAAAAAACATATCATAGTAAAATTAATACTTTCTCAACTTCGCATCGAAGCTAAAAATTAGAAAAAAAAAGATTAAACAGAATAAAACAAATATATAATTAGAAAAATATAAATATAAATTAAACACTGAAAAAAATGTTCACATTTACACTTTTTTATAATTAGGGGTTGTACCAATGAATACTTTTTAAGGAATAAGAGCCTTTTTTATTTGTTCAGAAGCAATTCTCTATTATTGAGATATCCGTCTTTGGATCTCGAAAGGACATTTTTATTAAGCTTGGCATCAATAGACTTGTTTGTGGATCCGTTTGTCTGATCATTTGTAGTCTTAGATTCACTACACGCTCTGTTTTTTTTCATTTCCTTTAACACTAATGTCAATTTGTCTAAATAATTTAAGCAGTATAAATAAACATTCTTCTATGTTAAAAGATTTTAAATCCTCGCCAAAATGAGAAGCTAAACTTTTTATATAATCTATCGTTACTTTAAAATTATTATTAGGTACATCAATATTATTGTCTGCTTGACAAATGAACTCTATAAGATGTTGCTTAATAATTTTATAATAGCTCTCATATACCAGTTGAGATTTAAATCTTTTTATTTGGCGAGAACTCATACGAAGCTCATTTTCTAATGATCCAAAAGAAAATTTTGACAATTTGTTCAGTGACGAAAACAACTTTACAAAAAATAGAAGTGTTTGTACACTTTTTAGTCATTACTACAGTGGATGAAAGTAATGTTTGGCTTGTTAGATCGAGTTCCATTAGGTAGTGTATCCAAAGTCAAACCATTTGCTTCACTGGCATAACTTCCCTAATATAATCATATTATAATAAAAATTTGGTTATTTAATTTTTTTCAGCATAAAAGATAATGTTATATTATTTTACAATTTTGTAGTTTCAATTATAAGCATAATGCTGATAAACATACATAATAATAATTATTAACGAGAAAATATTATACAATTTTGTGTATACTAATGTAATTTGATAAAATTATAAAATTTAAATGATAAAATTCATGGTTTTAAAAATAAAATAAAATAAAATATATTATTTTGTTTTAAATACCTAACAAGGAGAGTACACTGATTTTCACAAATATTAAATAATATCATTGACATAGCGTAGGAAGTTAAACTTATTTAAATTTTTTTGCTCTTTTAAGTTGAGAAAAATAACTTTGAAATTTGAACTAGTTTAGATTGCCATTTTTATCATCCAAAAAATACGATGTCCATAACAATTGTATTTTTCATGCTTGGGGTACGAGGTTCAAACATACCTGTAGCAATGACTTAAATACATTTTTTTCTTAATTCATTTTGAGTAAGAAAAAAATGATCAACACATTAAATTTTTATCTCATTTAGATTCAATAATTTCAATAAATATCAAGGACTACATCACTGTAGTCTCCCCTCGTGAGAAGAAATTTCTTATAGATTAAAAATTATTTTATTTTATGGTTTTTTTTTGTCACTATCATTTATTTTCTCAGCTCTCACTTGACCTACTTTTTTAATTACACGTCAAATGATTAAAATCGTATTTAGTTGAAGATATTACCCTCAAAAGTTGAAAAAAATTCCACTTTATCAATTAAAAAGTTACATAGCCCACATTCTCCATGTAGACAATTAAAATTATACATTTCTGATGTTTTTAAAGTATTGTCAAATTATGTTTGATAATAGATTTTAACTACATAATTAAATAACTTTTGANGATTTTAACTACATAATTAAATAACTTTTGAAAATCACATTAACTTTTATCATTTATAAATAATTATAAAAATATATTTTAAGTTATCATTGTCTTCTTCAGACAGCTTTGGCTTTTCGTCGTTCCCCAGCTGGTGCTGTTCCTATACTAAATAATGCCTGATTTGATCCTTGCATTCCTAAAAACAAGAAAATAATTTCAATTAACTATTATATTTTGAAAATTAGATTGTTAATTTTTTCTATATACCTGGCTGTTGCTGTGGAGGCGAACCAAAACCAAAGGGTCCTTAAAAAAAGATTTAAATAAAATTTGATAAAATTATCCGTACTTGAAGTTCAAAAACAACCATCGAATCCGTCCGTTGCTTTTACAACAATTGACCCTGTACTAACATCTACAAATGTTCAACCAACACTCGTTCCATGCACGCCTGACGTCAGTCGGTTATCTGCGTCTACAGGTTGGGTTGGGTTGGGTTATGTTACCTGAAAAATTTCAAACAAGTTGTTCCAGAATTTACCGGTTTTATTAATGAAGTACATCCTGAATTATTTTTAAATGAAGTTGACACATATTTTTCTAGTATTCAAGCTACTGAACAGCAAAAAATTAGTTGTGTTCAAAGTCGTCTTGTTAAAGTCGCTCGAGTTTGGTTTGACGCTTTATTACCACCTCCTTCTACTTATAATGAATTTAAATAAATTACAGGCCGACTTATTAATAAAAAGCCCACTTGCAAGTGTACTTGAATTTCAAAAATTGATTATTGTGAGTTGACATAAAATCTTAAATTTTAAAGGAACAGTTTATCTTCATTTTTTAATATATTATAACAAACAATAACTAATTATACCAAATATTTGTCAAAAATGTTAAAAGTTTCTAAAAATAAGTAGAAAATTTATGATTGAATTTTTTTAAGTATTATGAAAGAGATATTTCATTGTATTAGTCAATATTACTTTTATTTAAAAATATAAATATAAGTATATTAAATAATTTTACTTTGTAATGTATTAATTTTTTTTAACCTATTTTTGTGTTCTACTACACACAAATAGGTTAAAAAAGCCTCACTATTGTTTTCAAAATGTTGAATTCTTTAAATAATCATACAACTTTTACA